ACTACGTAATTCTGACTTGAAGCCATACATTATATTTGTTGCACCACCTTCACAAGAGAGATTACGTGCTTTATTGGCCAAAGAAGGGAAAAACCCAAAGGTAATGTGTCTACATTTCTGAAATCATGTTGGATTTTGTTTACAGATGGTTTTGATAAATTCTTATACTCTTTCTTTGGAACTGGGAGATGGTAACGGTACTGAAAATGTATGGGGAAGCAGTGTAGGTGAAATCCATTGCTGCGGGTTAGTAGACAGACCATACTAAGGGAAGGGCTGACTGATGCTTTTGCCTAATGAAATGACAGGTATGAGGCAAGGGAATCCATTGTTAATTCAGTAATCCTGGGGCACAATGTCTCAGCTGGGGTCTCTGCATTTGGGTACAAAAATACAACCTTTTATGTTAAAACTGTGGAAACCCCAACTTTGTCCTGAAGTAAACCTGAGAGTATTCTGGGGAGCGATTATTCTTTTTATTTTAACAACTTACATGCACTTAGGCAAGCATTTTCTTGAAAATGTACTCCAGAACTTTTCAGATGAAGTTATTTTAACGCTTGATTCTCTGGAGTCACTTTTCATGTTTCAGCCAGAGCCATCTCAACCAGTTCAGATAATTTAGTTGAGGAGTTAGTTCTGTGGAATGGGATTGAAACCCACAGGTTAAACCAGAAAGTCTGAAGCTCAGAAAAGGTCCTTATCCAGCTTGTGAGATACAGAGTGCTTATTGCTAGGATAATTAAATACATTGATCTTCAACTTTTTAAAGCTGAAATCTACTCTACAGTGGTTGGTGGGAGCACTTTGCCACCATAGTATCTTCAAAGTACTAGTTGAATATAATGCAGTTCATACTGAGGAAGAACAGGCTTTCCAGCATAACTCCAAAGGATTCCTGATGTGGCTGTTGGTCAGGAATCGTGTTCTATGGCTGTATTGTTCTGCTCTCCTTGTTTCATGCAAGGGTGATGTATTGCCTGGATGCAAATATGTGTATCGTGTTTCAGTGTCGTTGTAAACTTTGCAATAGCTGATAGCAATACCATGAAAATTTGTGTGAAAGTGTTTTCTGAGTTGTTACCTTTCCCTATGCTGTCACTGGGGGGGGGGCTTACTCACATATGCTAATTCTCCATTTTTGATTGCAGCCAGAAGAGCTGAGAGAAATCATAGAGAAGACGAGGGAGATGGAACAGAACAATGGGCACTACTTTGATACAGCAGTTGTGAATTCTGATCTTGATAAGGCATATCAAGAGTTACTTCGGTTAATAAACAAACTTGACACAGAGCCACAGTGGGTGCCCTCTACCTGGCTACGATGAGAGAGCAATCCCAAGGGAAAAATGGACTTCAGCTTACTAATCTTTCTAAGGAGACCATGTGTAGGCATGCCCAGTTCTAGTGTACACCTGTGTGAGCTCTGGACCCCAGTGACTGCATCCTTTGCCAGTGAAATTGCATATTACTGGAAAAAATATGCTAATCAGCTTGTGAGCTGGTTTAGCTGATCTAAAGATTGTCCACGTTTTCTTTCTCTGTCGTCTAGAAATGGAGACCTTGACAGTGCTAAATTCTAAAGCTTTAGATAGATATTTTCTAGCAACTACTTTTATACATAAATCCACCTTTTTTACCTAGAATCACTGTTACGAAATCAAAGGTTTTAAGTGTGTGTGTGTGTGTGTATATATACAGTCCATGCTGTCACATAGTTATAAATATGAATGTTATTTAACACTTAACTTAATGACTTTGTGGGACATGATGGTAGTTCAGGAGCATAATTCTACAGATCATTGGGCAGAGGAATAATCTACACATGGAAAAACATTAATATTCATGAGAAATCTGTCCTGTTCAAAAAATACACAGAATAAAGAGGCTGCTCTGGTCTGGAGCTGCCCTGTGAGGCTGTAGTTAATAGTTTAGTTATCAAACATTCCACTTTCTCATAGCACTGTAATTGGCAAATGTGTATAATGTAAATACTTCAATCCTTGTGTCTTTTTAGTCGGACTTTGTAAATCAGATTTGACTGCACAATAATTTTAGGTCCAAAGATTAATATTATGTTGATCTTTTAGATGTGGTATTTTTAAGGAATTATCTTTAAAACATATTGACTGATTGGAGCCGTTGTTTTCAACAGATAGAGATATTTAGAAAGGCAAAGGTTATATTTTTGTGAAATTTATATAGTTATAAGACATGCTGCTTAAAAGTCAGCTTAAGTTCTCATGTTTTATAACAGAATACTGACTAAAATAGACTGATATGCTGAACATTGGAAGATAGTGGGGGGGGTTTAATCTCTGCAAGTGGTTTGTTTTGTGGCTGTTGGTCTAATGGATGACTAACTGGAATTAAAATAGCTGAATGTAGCTACTGTGTTATAAATTACTGTTATAATTCACTAGCCAACATATTGTCCTTGCTCAATACTGCAGTGAAAGTGTGTGTAAAACACTGGTAACTGACTGAGAAGTCACACAAAAGGGGAATATTATTAATGGTTGAAACAAAAAAAAAAACTTGAAACAAGGGAACAAAAGGCAAGGTCTGTCTGTATCCTAGTGTGTTCTGCAAAGCGGATCAGAACATCTTTGCATCATCAGTTGATTCTGAGCTGTGAAGGTTTAGCTACTAAGTCTGTGCACCTGCAGTAGGGCTGTTCCATCCCTGAAGCTAACTGAATAGTATCTCTGCTGTTTTGGTTTTGGATAGCACAAAGAACCTTGACTGTGAATATCTCTTAATTTTAGCCATAGTGTTTCTTTGTTCCTACATGTAAAACACTGGAGTTATGTCAATGTGTAGTTCATTCCTGTCTAATGTTGAAGGATGAAAAAATAGTTGATTTTTTTTCCATTCTGTCTTGCATATATTCTTTCCTCAAAAGTTAGTGGAACAAATTCAAACCCACCGTTAAAGAGAGCTCAAAGTATAGAGCAGATATAAAGAAATTGTCAGGTTACTATCCTACTTACTGAACTAACAGTACATTTTTGTATTGAAAAAAAACAGAAGTATAGAGTGCATTCATATCTTGTTAGAAAGCAAAATTACTGCTGGTTTAATTAATATTTAGGGCTGAAAAGCAATTAAGCAATTAGTGGGGATAAGTAATGACCCTTCAGAAAGAGAAGGGGTTGGAAGCTTTTATCTTTAGTTCAGTTCAATGGTAACGATGTGCTAGCTGTTGGCCCAAGGGCTGGATATTCAAAGTAATGGCTTTTGCCTCACATTGCAGGCATGTTCTCAGTTTAATCCGTAGTTTGATAACTACGATGTTCAGGCATATTGGATAGTCAGTGTTTCATAGATGACAAAATATTGGATCAATTTTACCCTTTTTTAAAAAAGATGATTGTAGTTGTATTAGGTTTTTTTGGTATTGGCAGTTTCATAGCTGGACAAAGTGGAAAGCAGTAAAATGTTAAGGGTAACCTAGCTCAGCTACATAGGCTCTGTACAAATTTCTGCAGTCACACTCAGATGGTTGCTGAACCCCCTTAGGCATTCAGTGCTCACAGACAGTGTCAGTCACATTAAATCATGCCACTAATATATTTAACTGTTTGTCTACCCAGTTTTTCTGAAATTACACAGAAGCTGGTTTTATACAAATAAGCTTTTGAATGTAGACTTAAAGAATGTTGCCTGAAGTTCAGCTCTACTCTCTTAATTCCCAAGGCACACAGTACTTGCTGATATCCATGTGGAGAGGTGCTATGATAGTTTATAACCAGCTTTAGCTTTGCCTCCTGAAAGGAAAGGCTTGAGCAGCACTGGGATATGTACCTGGTTGTCCATCTGCTGCCAGCCTGGACCAGGAACTACCTTCTGTAAGAAATTATTCTGCCTTCTTTAATGAAGACTGTGTGTTAAATTTCATGAGAGTAAAAGAGAATATGCAGACTTCACCGATGAAACTCTCTAACCTTATCACAGGCATTGTAATGAGCTGTATCGGACTGAAATGAGGGTATCTGCATTCTTACCAGTCCAGATTTAATTAAAAGAAATAGCAGCTGAATTGTGTAACAGAATTTTTGAATTTAATTTTATGAAACTTTTAAAAATTGGATGGGTGGGTTTAATGCCTTAAGTAATTAAGGCAACTTTACTGAGATCTGTGGTTAGCCCCACATTGTACTATTATACATGTATCTGCACTCTGTATTTTGAGACATCATGAACTGCACACTAATGTAAAAATGTAAAATATTCCTAGATTTAAAATAAATCATTGTACAATTTTACTTCTTGTAGCACATGGTGGGAGTCTTCTTTCTGCCATTTTGCTGACTGTGGGAAGATGCTGTGACCTGCCAGTGTCCTAAAGGATGTTCTCTGTTCCTTCCAAAACCATGCATCCCAGGGGTAGAGGTAACAAGTGCCCTCAACTCTACTGTTTTTTCTCTTTCAAGCTACACCTGCATCTTAAAACAGAGTATGGACTTACTATTTAGCTGTGCTGCCTTCAGCTTTGAAAAAGAAACGGCCTTGTGCTTCATGCAACTATAAAATTACTTTTTGAAGGTGTTCACAGACTTTCCTTGCACTTACCCCACACCTGCAGTTAAGTGCTGGATCAGGTTTAAAATAAGGTGCTTACCTTGAAGAGACTAATAGTACGAGACTAATAGTACTAGTAGTACTAGAGCCAATGTACTAGTGTTACACCTATAGCATGTGTTCAGTTTGCTGACTGCAAAACAGTGTCTTTAGGAACAGTCCTTCAAACTGTGTCGCTGAGGACATGAAAAAACAGCAAGGATGGACTACCTCACCTTCAGCCTTGCTCTGCTTGCCAAACTACTGGTTGCAATGAAGATCTGGAACAACATGTAGCTGGATAGCTAAGAAGAGTTTCTGTGTGTCTGTGGTAGAAAGGAGCCACTTAACCTTTATTACTTTAGGTTAATAACCAAGGAGAAGTGAATGTGGACACAGGCTGAAAGATGGGCCTGGTGCAAATTCTAAACTGGGGGTAGGGGATGAAGTGAAGGTTTTATTTTGAAGTCAACATGACAAGCTTTTAAGACCACCATCTTCCAGCAGTTTGAGCCAGACACCAGCTATTTAACATTTAAAATTTTTACTTGTTTCTAGTACAGACAATACACAAGTTGGCAGAGCCTCTAATTAAGACCAAGATTTTTAGATTTTAGGTCAATGGTAACAATCGTGCAACAAAAGTCAGAGAGGACTGTGGATTTTGTCAACAGGGTAGAAAACTAGCATTGTCTTTACTGATGTTTGACTTAAGCGTGCCAATACCTGCTTTAATCAACATGAACATTAATAGTTCTGCAGTAAAGAACATTACATGCATCTCCCTCCTTAAATGTCTTCCTAGCATGCACTAGGAAGGGGAGTAATAATTAAAGAGGAATCTTGATTAGACAAATCCAGAGCCATCCTGCAAAAAACACAGCTATGTACAGTCGTTCCTACTAAGTGAAGGAACAGGTTGAGCACATAATAGGCAGCTTTCCTGATAGTAAAGCACCTCATCTCTCCTTTTCCTCTTATGCTGCAGTTAAGTTCCCAGATTTCTAATCTCCCAGGAGAAATCCACAATCCAGTCAACTCAAGACTTATACACCAACTGAGAAGCCACATAAGTATCATTGAGGCAACATGTCCTGAATTATATTTCAATTGGACATTCTTTACTCTGGGTCCCCTGTTCCATATCCAACAACTGTGCTGGGTTACTCAAACAGAAGGTCCTCATCCTTCTCTTCTACTAACAGATTGGCTGGTTCATGCTCCCCACCATCAGCCCTTCGCAGCGCCCGTTCTCTCTCAGATTTTTCTTTCAATACTTTTTTCTTTTCCTGGATCTTCTTCAACCTGTGAAGAGGAATGTGGTTTATCTGTGAAACAAACATGTTTTCATAAAACAGGCTAGCAGCAAGGATGCCATGCAACTTGCATATGATAAAGCTGCCTGGAGATGTTCCCTAGGAACCCCAAAGTCCTGTAACAAACGGCAAAAGGCTTTTATCTCCAGCTGCTGCCATTGAAAAATTTCATCCAAACTATAAATTATATTCTTGAGCTTAAACACTGCATTATATTGTTCTGCTTGTCTTTAATGAAGTTAATTCTCCTTTATTTCATTCCAGGTTTGACATTTTTGCTTCAAGCAGCCCAAAACACTCACCTCTATGGCAGAGGTGTCCTTAAAGCAGAACACCTCAGCTCAGTATACTATATCAGCATTCCCTCTGAAAAAAAATGCTATGACAGCTGTGTACAACCTAGTGGTAGGGATTCATCTGTAAACTTCAGACAAGTAATCACGTGTCTCCAAGTTCCCAGCTATGGAAACTCAATGTGCAGGAAGAACCAGGTCATGGTTAACAGTGTTTACTGCCAGGTTAATAGTTCTCATAAGTCCCTTCTGAGGAATGGTCTATTTGAGAAACAGGCCAGTCTTGTCTTGGTTTGGACATTTACCTGTAGAATTCCTCTCGTTCTCGTTCATCCAGCTCTGTGATGATATAAGAAAGAGTACGCTCGATCCTGGGAATAATCACTAAAAAAATATAAGCACGGAAGTTTTTGACTGCTGTTACATTAGCCAGGAAGTTACCTAATGCAAGGCACAGATGGTTGTTGAAAATCGATCTAGTAATTCTTTTGGCTAGAGGAAATTTACATGTCTTTCATGGAAAAGCATGCTCTTTCATTATGGACAAGTACACAATTGTTTTCTTCAGTAAGCCCAGGAGTAAACTAGGACTTTGAACATCACGGAATCTCCGATAGCATGTTCTTTTGAACGATGCAATGGAATCACTAAGCACTAATCCCTGATGGCTTGTAAGGTCCTTATTCCCCATGGAAGTGTTAAAAAAAAAAAAAAACACCCAAATAAAACAAACAAAAAAAAACACCTCCTGCAAGAGATGGCCAATATTTGAATTAAAATTATGTTCTATCACATTCTTTCAGAAACTTCTGCTCAATGTAGTGCTTTTACTCACAGAATTATCTTGGTTTAAAAAAGCCATTGTGAAAACAAATACTCAAAGGTAACACGATCATGAGGGAAGAGGTAAGACATAAAACAAAGCTTTAGCACCTAACTGGGTGAGCTGTGTGTCAGAATCACTTTTTGAAAGGAGAAAGCTGTTATCAGCACTACCAAAGTTATCTTGAAGGCTGCAGAGGAAACCTCTTCTACAGTTAAATTTGCAGAGTGATAAGCTGCAGATAAGGCCTGCACCGTCAAGGGAACAAGTCTATGGAAAACAGGGCTGAAAAGGGCAGTTCAGATTCATGTACTGAAGTAAGTTATTGCATATGTGCAAATATGTATGCATACAGGTCATATGTTAAATATGACCTGTCGACAACTCAGGAACTTGAAATAATCGAAGCACCCTGAATACTGCAGCAAAAGGAATCACATCAATACTGTACATGGGCTGTATTTAAAAACTTGCAAAAAACAAACTTGCAAAAAACAAATTTACAAACAAGAATAAATAAGGAATTCAGATGAAAGAAAAATACCAGAATACTGACATTAGGACTGTTCCATTTCCTCTAACACAAATCTGAAGAGATTCCCAAGCTTTCTCTCAATGCCCAGTCTGCGATACCATCCAAAACCAATCAAGAGAGTTACTAGCTCTTCACTGGACACCATCATTACAGGTTTAAAAGCTATTATGCTAGCTCTTAGAACATCTGAACATATAAAAGCATCCTTTCTTTCGTTTCTGTACAACAGACTTGACCAAGTAAGTCATGAGCAAAGACTCCACAAGATTACTTTCTCATATTTGCATATTCATTTATCAATATGTACTCCAGTCCATTCTACCAGGCTTTTCATTTTTGTTCTTATTTGCAATATGCTTCATTCTAATGCTTTCTGAAGAGATTTCGAACTGGTTAGAAATCCTACAAACAAGAAAGCAGTCAAAACAAGAGGTACTTCCATCACCCTGTTCCTCATCTTGCATGGAGGCAGAGAAATACTACACATCCCAAAAGGGAAAATACTCACCGTGTTCAATTGCATTCACGCGTCTGTTTGTTATTTTAATGGCATCATCCAAAGTAAGGAAGGATGTCTGATGGAAGACAAGACAAATTCCGCATTTCCATCAATTCTATACACAAACCAAAGTAGCGCTTGAAAGCCAAAGCCGAGTCTGTAATGTAGCTTTACATACAGACTCAATTTTTGATAGAAGCAGAATTTTTTTCTACTTATGTAAGGAGCACACTGAATACTGCACATATGAGGAGTTACAAATACCAACTCCCTAAAAGTTTCTTAGTACAGCATTAAGTCTAAAGGAGTATAGTACAGTTCAAAGTACTGAGACTACTTCCATTTCGGAACAGTGAGAAACCAATAATCCCCTTCCTTTTTTTTAACTCCCACCAACCTGTAAGGAGGCCAGTTCCACAAGCAGCTCCACAGCTTTGGCATAATTCCTCTTCAGCTTAGCCAGCTGTTCTCCACCTCTGGCCAAGCCAGTCAATTCATAGCCTGAGGGAAAAAAAAAATCAAATAGCAAAATATCAAATAATATTTGTTACTATTGTTACTACATTTTCTTACTAGATAAAAATTAGTAACTTATGAACTGCAGTGATACAGACAGCTCAGCAAGTGTGATGAGCTAAAGCCCTTGTCCATTAATAAATTGTCTTTATAGTGGTTTACGTTACTACAGATCACTCTTGTGCGTATCTACAGTAAGACCTACCAGTCTCAAAACCTGCTAGTTCAAGACGAGCCTTCTCCTCACCTGAAAAACTCACTCATTTAGTCTTAATAATCCCTCCATGTCACAGGAACAGAGCAAAGTATCAGTAAGCAGAAGTAAGTACACCTATGCCTATGATGTAAACTGACTTACCAGGAGGACATGACAAGTATTTTTGTGTTAGCAAAAGTACATGTAAGATAGAAAACACCTGTTTTGTACTTACTATCTCCTCCTTCCTGGTAGTGTTCAAAAACTGGCAGGGTTACACCTGACAAAAGTAAACAAGAATGTGTGTAAGAGACATGAAAGTCTTACAGATTTATTAAGTGCAACTCACTTTTACCTGATTTGCTTCTAATGCATTATGTAAGCACAGAATCTTTTCCAAAATCTTCCTATATAGCTTGGAATGATAAAGGCATGCTGGTTCTGACATCTTAAGATGGAACTTCATAATTGTGTCTAGATATCTGTGATATCAGTACATGAAAAATTCAGAGAAGCATTCAGGTTTATTCAGTGTTTAATTTTATGTTTCTCTTTAGAAACGTATTCCCTATGCTTAAGGAATATTTCAAGCATTCGATCCTGATTTAGCTTTCTTGTTTTCTTCTCCATTATTGATATTTAATTTCCTGAAACTTATTTTTGATTTTTAGATTCTTAATCTCCTGATCTATTTTTCTTTAAAGCTTTATGGAAATCATGCTTTGTCTGAAGACTGAGGAATTGGACTGAGCTTACACACTCGTTTAATTTTATGAGGGAAACAAAAAAGTTATATCCTTTATGTGAAAAAAAAAAAACAGCAAATTACAGGTGTTCCCTGTTAGATGATTATAAGAAAGAAAGGAGACAGTGATTGGATACATTCCTGCATATTTCACAGTCTCCTCCCACAATTCCCTTAAGAGCCAAAATACTCATTGTCTGGAAAAGTCACCTGCTACATTGTCTTTTTTAGCTCTGATCTTGGCTTGAGCTTTGTTCACATTTTGGATCACAGTGGTACTGTAAGGAAGAAAAAATGTATCTTAATCAGGAAAATGGTTCATTAAGTCATCACTATATACAACATGAAGTAGTTATCAAATAGCTGTAAACATCTGGAAATTGTCCTCAGCAAAGTTCTCTATGCAATTCATTGCACAGACTTTGAAGCTAACACAGAAGCTTTGAATGAAATAGGTTTCCAGCAATGTTTGTAGATGTAAAAAACATAAAGTATACAAAACATAACTAAAAATTAGCCAGTTTTCTGGCAAATTACTTTAAAATATTTTAATAACATTGAGTCTAATTCACCTGTGAGACTTCTTCCCTGATAAAAGTGGAGGAATTTCAAGGCTTTAATGCAGACCAAGGCCACAACATTTTGTTCTTTTGAGTTTGTATGTACTTGTTCTGTCAGAACATATATGACTTTGATTATCCACTAACTATTAACATATTAACAAACTTAAGCTTCTACAACAATTCATCATGAAGAATTCTAAAGTATTGTTAAGATCTTCCAAGAACAGGTCACTGTAGCCAAATCTACTAAAGCACAGTTTGCTTACAGGGTGGAATCTGACTATTGTTTACGGCTAAACACTGTGACTGGTTAGGACAGGAAACAGCACCACATTCAAGTGAAAGGGCAAAAAGACTTTTCTCCAGTAGCACACAGGTTACAGCTGTGTCTGATCACTTAATTCTTCCCCATTAACCAGTAGTACCATCAGCTGAATCATTAACACTTACCCAACTTTATTCCACAAGATCTTCACACACTTGAATGAATTACACAAACACTGTAGTTAGAACTGTGATTTATTAAAATACAATTTAAAAACACCCTCCCGCAAGAAAAATATTTGTTTCCCCTCTCAGATACAGCCCTCAATAGGCCTAGTGAGACAAGAGGGCAATGAAGAGGAGGTTAGAACAATGAGTAAAATTACTTTATGACTTACTGGGAGAAAATAACACGCATCATTACATCCAGCCCTCAAATTCACAAGAAAAATCAAAATAATAAATAGTTCAATACTCTGCTATACATCGTTGTTTCCCTACATTTTAGATTCCAAGCTGCAAAAAGCAATACCTCAAAGATTTGTAAGTAAATTCTGTTATTCTTTCTACTTTGTTTAGCTTCCAAATGGAGTACACATTTTCATCATGTAAGTTACCTCTCCTGCAGTGACATCTCCAACCTTTACCTAACATAATTCAGTTCATCCTGTTCTACCCTGTTTCTTTTTAAAGTGAATTTAAGAATTTTCCCATGGGTTGGACATCTACAAGATCAGCAATCCTCACCTGAAATCTCCTGCTGTAAACTTTGCCTCAGCAAGTGAAAAGGCAGCTTCTCTCATCACCTCACCCATCAGCATCTTAGTCTAAGAAAAAAAAAAGGGCAGCAAATACAAGGCAAATCACCATTCCTTCACGAGGATAAATAATTAACAGCATAAAGAAGAATAAGAAATTTGAGTAAGAAATTCCTGTTAGTAGAACAGGAATGCACAAGTGACAGAACAGACAGGTTCCAAATAAATTGAGTCAAACAGGAAAATTCTCATTTACCTACCTCAATAATTTTCTTAAGGATCTGCCTAAATCGAAGTGTCAAAGCATCAGATTTTTTCTTCAAGAGATTACGACCAGTCTGAGCTCCTTTCAAACGAGCTTTCATGATGGTCTGAGCCCTGTTAAACAAGAATAAATAAAAATGTCCTGCATCACCTGAAGGGATTAGGAAAAAACTTCTGCAAAGTTTGCTCACATGGATATAGGTAAAATTATGAAGCAACCAAGAAATATCAATGCAGTAAAAACAGGATGGCCACTTCAGGATAGAATTTTATATTCCCATCTAAAATCGGGACTTTATTGTATTTATCTCCATCAGCAATGAAAATTAGACTCCATCAAAGATCATGGAAAATTGACGTCATTTTTCAGTGCTTCCACAACAGGAGAACAGTTCTCATTTTTTTATGACTTACAAGTACCAGAAATTCAAATACCCACAGTCAGTGTGACAGTGGTGTTGCTTTTAAGCTCTTTTACTGCTATGTCATCTACTCAAAATCAGAAAACACAGCAAATTCTTCATCTATGGGATCACAGCTATTGATGCTGTGTTCTGATTTCACAGTGCAACTTGATACAGCAGCCGTACATTCTGATTTAAAGAAAGTCAGAAAGCACAATGATTCCATAGCTTCATGTGCCACACAGGAGATGTACAAGCTATTTAAGACCATCAGAAGTAGCATCAGTTGAAAAGGTTATTAGTAAGTTAGCTGTACTGTTGTATACCCTCTACTTCCAATAGCATACTTACAGGTTTCTTCTACAGAATTAGGATCTGAAGAAGGATCCAAACCATGCTTCCCTCTCTGCTGTGGAGTGTATTTTAATTTGAAGAATGTTTTTGTTTTAAGTTAAGTAGAATAGCAGGAACTAAACAAGAGGCACAAGCTGCTCAAACTTAAGCTATCCCTTTGTGCATACAGCCACTGCACACGAAGGACAATACTCAAGTCACCTCTATGTGAAGAGAAGCCCTATAAGCTTCCTCTCTGGCCCTGAAAAGGTAAATATAATTAAGATTCTACCTACACAGTGGAAGCCATTACTTTCCACATTTATTAGCATGTGATGAGAATAGCTCCATTAGTATCTACCAAACACTTTAAAAAGCACAAATACTTTCTAAAGGTTTGCCATTAAAAAAAACACCACAAAGTCAAGAGTAAAAAGGCAGCTTTGCCTCCACAACAGGCAGGTCTCTGTCACCACCTTGAAGTAACTTGTTCACTCTTTTCACCACCTGCCAGAGACTGGCTGACTTTCTAGTTCAAGCAAGATTTCACAGGCTCTGAGAGTGCATTGAACAAAGTCTTGTTTTCTGTTAAGGACACTGAGCAGCTTCTGTAATTGCTGACATCCAGCACAGAATAGGCCCATGCCTGCATGCCAATTTATTAAGATTTAAAAAAAACAAACAACAAAAAACAACAACAACAACAAAAAAAAAAAAAAAAAAAAAAACAAAAAAACAAAAAAACCCAAACAACATAAAACAAGAATTTTGTGAAATTCTGTCCTGTCAGTTAAAAAGAAATAACTGTTACAGAGGCAGGCCGTCCTTATTTTATCATCCTAACTTACATTCCTATCAAAACATCAGCCACGCTATTGGTCTACTACCTCATCTGAAACAAAGCTTGTAAATATTAAGCCTTTGTACATCACCATGTTCTTGCCACAATGACATATCATCCCAGAAAACCAGATACCTTTTAAAAGTGATCTGCTTCCTCCTTGGACATGTAAACTGAATGGAAAAAGCACTACCAAAAGAGCAGGAGTCAGATCAGATGAGTATGTGTATGTGATTTATTTCTGAACTAAATTTCCAAGCAGACCCTTTACCATGTAATGTGTTAATCTTTCCACATAAACTCTTATTTCGTATGTCCTGAGCGCATACACGGGGAAATAATTATTATTTTACATTCAGTGATTTCTGTCCTGCAAGGCACCTTTTTATGAAGGCTAAATGCAGGCATCAACCCAGTTTTATGCAAGAAGATGTGCCTTAAGGCAAAGTCTTTCTGTCCGGGAGGGTTCTGAAAAGAAACTGAATAGCATTAAAACAGCAATTTTACAGGTAGGTCGGTTTCACTTGTTTGTGTTCATTCCAAATTTGGTGGCCTTGAAGCCTTGTGAGGAGACATCTGACTTCATGACAAATAGTTGGCTGTCAGGATGTGGAAAATTACTTCTCTGTCCACTGAACATTACACATTTTACTTCCTTCTTCTAACAATTTATGGCCAGCTTTATGTACAGCAGTATTGTCTAATAGAAAGCTATGGTTCGATTTGCGCATTTTTTTCCTTATACAATCACACAAATTCTTCTTTAAAAATAAAGGGGTTTGCAATTGCATAATTTCAAATAACCCCGACACCACCACCACTGGAAGCTGCTTGCGTCCTACCACTGTGCCCTGCCACGGCGCTCTGACGGCTGACCGAGCACACCCACCTGCGGCCTTTGCGCAACGCCCAGGCAGAGGGAGGGAGACCCCCCTCGGGGCGGCGACGACAGACCAGCACCCAGCGAGGCCATTCCCAGCGCTGGGCCGCAGCTGGGACAAGATGCCCCTCAGGGCCGCCCCGAGCAGTCGCACCGCGACGCTGACCCGTTCCTGCGGCTGTGCCCGGGGAACCGCACCGGGACCCCTCACCCCGCTCGCCCCTGAGCCCGCGCTCCCGGCGGACACTCACATCCTGGAGGGGAAGATCTCGATGCGGTCCTTGCCCGACATGGTGGCAGCGCAGGACTGCGGGGCCCGCTCCCGGTGTCACCGCTGTCGCCGCCGCCGCCGCCACGTGACGCGCCAGCGCTGGCTCCGCCCCCGCGGGAGGCGGTGCCCTGGCACACGGAGCACCCGCGTGCCGCGCAGCTCCTCCTCGCCCCGCCCGCGAGTCCCCGCAGGTCACGTGCCCCCGGGGGTGGGCCGGAAGAGGCGCCATTGGCTCCCGGGCCTATCGGTGGCGCCCGGAGGTCTCCGGCTCTGCTCGCCTGCGCTTGCTCTTCCCGGTCCTTGGGAGGCGCTCTAGCACAGGGCGGCCTTCTGCCTCAGGTTTGAGACTCTATGGTGGCAGGGGGGAAGCAGCGCTGGCCTATCGCGTGCGGCGGCGCGGAGCAGGGTGGGCCGACGCTTGCGCAGCGGTGGTGGCAGTGGCCAGGTGCACGCTGAGGCAGGAGCGGGACCAGCGCGAGAACCCCGGCCGCGAGCGCAGAGCGGGACCCCTCGACCGTTGCCAGGTAGTGGCTGCGCTCCCGCCGCGCACTGGGGCCGGGCCGGGCCTCGCCTCATCTCGCTTAGCCTCACCTTCCGGCAGGGACCGCCGCCGCGGGCAGGGGAGCCCGGCGCGGCGCGGGGCTGGGCCCGAGCGCTTGGGCCCTGGCGGGGCGGGAGGCACCGGTGCCGCAGCTGCGAGCTTTCCAGCTGGCGTGACCGCTCTCCCGGGAGGGTGGGGGCTCTCTCACTGTGGTAGAGGTGGGCTGTTCCCGCCCGCCAGCGACTGTGGGCTGCCCTGGGGACCGGAGCGCCTCTCTGTAGTCGTGGCTGGACATTGCCTGTGTCAGCGGCGTCCCAGCGGCCGGGAGCATGAGTCGCTGGTCAGAAGTTCCTCCATGTTCGTCAGTTTCCGCAGAGACCATTGCAGCAGCGGGGATCTAAACCTTTGCCGAGGCGTTTTAGTGGCTTGAAAAGAGGATTTCCAGTATGGCGCTGTGGGCACCGTGTGTTGCTCCCGAGAGTCTTCCACAGAAAGATTAAAAAGCTGTGTCTGTGGAGAGAGGAGTAAAATGCTGTGTGTAAGGAACGGTGGTTGTCCATTCTTGCCGCTTGTCGCTGGGGTTTGTTGCTTTGCCGTATATCTTTATTATGTATCTCATAAGTAGACCTATAGGATTGAACTGAACTGCCTGAAGTAGACTAGAAAAAACGTTTAACAGTAAAAGTTCTTATTTTTAACCTTAGGAGTTCTTTGTTCAGCTTCAAGTTCCATGAAACTTAGAAGACTTTTTATAAGATTTTACCAGCTTGTATTACTCTTTTCTGAAAGTTAAGAATGGAAATAAGGATGGACACAGTCTTTTGAATTATGTACATAGCACTTGGCATTACCATCTCACTGTCTTTTTCAGTTCTTTTATAGCTAGAAAGCGTTAGCCCTGCTGTAAAGAGCAAGAATAAAACTTCGAGCTGGTGCATAAAAAAGTCTGCTGAAGGAGTGACACATTTGACCTGGCATCTGAGACTCCTGTAGGGAACTTGTAGGCACACACAAAAGGAATCAGTCTAACCTGGTTAGCAGTGATGAGTATGTAGATCAGGAAAATGAAGCCATTTAAGCATTTCTTCCTATCACTGTGTGATTATGAAGCATCTGTTTTGTACTTTTAAAATATATATGAATTAATCCTGTTTTGGTTTTCAGGTGTGTTTTTTTTCTTCCTGACTGGCAATATGTTGGGGGCGCTTTTTTATTTTTCAGTGCTTAGGACATTTCAGGCCAGGTCTGTCTTCTGTTCTGATTATTGCCTTTGCTTCTTTGCTGACAGGTAGCCTCTGGAGCAGGTCTTGCAGGATTGTTCTAAAAATCCTGTGTTGAATTTAGAAAGTCATCTTGAGTATAGAGTCTGCTCCTTCTCGCTACTACAGAAGCTTCACTCTGCCTCTTTATTTTTTCAGCCTCTTGCATGCTCTCTTATCAATGGTTTGGGTTGGAAGGGACCTTAAGATTATCTAGTTGCAAACCCCTGCCATGGGCAGGGACACCTTCCCATGCATGGGACACCCACGGCTAACAAATACCTTTGGGAGCACTGCAGGCTTCTTCTCTCCCATATTCTCTTGTTGTTAGAATCTGATTTAAAATTGTGCACAGCCTCATGAATTTAATGAATGCAAGATGTGCCATGTGACCTTTTCGCCACTTGAAGCATCTGCGCTACAGTGTGTTATGTGTAGGTAGTACAACAGTTGAAATCAATAATAAAGTCTGGGTAGCAAGCTCTACTTTCAATGCAAAAAATTAGCATCTTACCAAATGTTCATAGTAATACTAAAATACTAGTTAATTTATTGTTTATGAAGTTCAGTAAAGCAAAGTGCAAGGTCCTGCATCTGGGTTGTGTCCATCCCTGGCACAGCTACAGGTTGGGTGGAGAAGTTACTCAAAGCAGCCCTGTAAGGAGGACTTAGGGATGTTGGTTGACAGGAAGCTGAACATGAGCCAGCTTCGGTGTGTGCTCACAGCCCAGAAATCAACCGTATCCTGGGGTGCATCAAAAGGAGCATGACCAGCAGGTTGAAGGAGATGATCCTGCCCCTCTACTCTGCTCTCGTGAGACCTCACCTGGAGTACTGTGTACAGTTCTGGTGTCCTGAACATAAAAAGGACATGGAACTGTTGGAACAAGCACAGAGGAGGGACATGAGGATGATCAGGGGACTGGAGCACCTCCCGTATGAAGACAGGCTGAGGAAGTTGGGGCTGCTCAGCCTGGAGAAGGGAAGGCTGCATGGAGACCTCATAGCAGCCTTCCAGTATCTGAAGGGTGCCTAATGCCAGAGAGGGACTCTTCGTTAGGGACTGTAGCAATAGGACAAGGGGTAATGGGTTTAAACAGGGGAAGTTCAAGTTTGATATAAGAGAGCAGCTTCTTACTGTGAGGGTGGTAAGGCACTGGAACAGGTTGCCCAAAGAAGTGGTAAATGCTCTGTCCCTGGCAGTGTTCAAGGCCAGGTTGGACAGGGCCTTGGACAGCATGGTGTAGTGTGAGGCATCCCTACCCATGGCAGGGGATTTGGAACTGGATAATCTTAAGGTCCTTTCCAACCCAAAACATTCTATGATTAATTTCTATTAAAACTGAAGTTTGAATTGCACAAGCCTTATTGTAATTTGCAATTTTTTGTGCCAATGTTCCTCTCTGTCCGTAACAGTCCTTGCTGATTTTTTTACCATGTTTGTAGGAGAAGGCAGTGATGTACTGTGAAATAAAATCTTTGTTTCTTCTCAAATTCCAGAATGCCAGGACTAAGCTGTAGATTCTACCAGCATAAATTTCCAGAGGTGGAAGATGTAGTGATGGTCAATGTTCGGTCCATTGCTGAAATGGGAGCCTATGTCAGCCTGCTGGAGTACAACAACATTGAGGGCATGATCCTTCTTAGTGAGCTTTCCAGAAGGCGTATTCGTTCCATAAACAAACTCATCCGCATCGGGAGGAATGAATGTGTCGTGGTCATAAGAGTTGACAAAGAGAAAGGTATTTGGGGGTATTTGGGCAGGATCAAAATTGAATTCATAGAGAAAAGTGCAGGTAAACTAGGCAGCTTAGGTGTTCTTTGGTTTTGTGAGGGATTCTGCTTTTTAAGGTG